CGTGGCAGCTCTGGGAGTGAAGCATCTCCCTTATGAGGAAAGACTGAGGGAGCTGGGTCTCTTTAGTTTGGAGGAGACTAAAGGGTGACCTTATTAGTGTTTATAAATATATAAAGGGGGAGTGTCACGAGGATGAGCCAGGCTCTTCTCAGTGGCAAACAATGGTAGGACAAGGGGTAATGGGTACAAGCTGGAACACAAGAGGTTCCACTTAAATTTGAGAAGAAACTTCTTCTCAGTGAGGGTGCCAGAGCCCTGGCACAGGCTGCCCAGAGAGGGTGTGGAGTCTCCTGCTCTGGAGACATTCAAACCCCACCTGGACGTGTTCCTGTGTGACCTGCTGTAGGTGATCCTGCTCTGGCAGGGGGGCTGGACTGGGTGATCTTTTGAGGTCCCTTCTATCCCCTAACAGTCTGTGATACTGTGATAACCCACATTTTCTATGCAACTACTTGCACAGATAATTTCTTGTCTCTGTCCTGTTACTCAGTTTCAGAACTAGCCTTGAAAATAGCTGGTTCAGCATTCAGTCCTCATCTTTGGTCAAATTGAGTCTGGTGGTGCTAACTTCTGGAATAACTACTAGTCCCTTTTTACCCATAAAACTTCCATGCCTTCACTTTTCGCAGTGAAAACATTGCAGAACAAAGGCTGCTGGTCAGAAAGGCTGCGGTTCATGTCACTGTTTTGTATCGGCCGTTGCAAGCGAAGAGCGCAGACGCGACAGAGCGCTGCGCAGGTTTCCAGCCTTACAAGATAGAGATGGGTTTGGTTTGTGAACGGGTTGGAAACGCCACGTTCTTCTTGCCTCATGGCAGCACTCAGTAAAGCCCTGGTTTTGTCCTGGGCAAGCTGTTTTATTATTTTTTTTTTTTTAATCCTGAAAATAGTTAGCCAGGTATTTTGACTTGTGCGTGTAGCTTGTAACTTCTCTGTCACGGGTGTGTTTTGTTCCACCTGTTCCTAAGGGGAATTTTTTTAGAATTGTTTTTCCCGAGTTTTGGGTTACACAGAGCGACGGCTTTTACTTTGTCTCTTTTTTAAGCTCGTTTAAGCGTGTGTAAGTACAACACATGAAGTGAGATGCCTGAGGCGCTCTTACATACTTAATCCCTAGTTTCAAAGTCTTGTGTTAATAGAAGCGTTTTTCTTAGATAAATGTCTTTTTGTTTCCTAAAAAAGTTGCAGAGCGAAGCAGTTTAGGTTCTTGGGAAAAATTCTGCTGCCATGTGATAAATATTTGTGGTACGGTCCTTTCTCATACAAGAACATTTTCATCTTTGTTTGTCTATGAATAACAAGTATATATTTTAAAAAATCTAATTCCTCTGCAGTTTTAACTCTTTCGTAATGCAGATTTGGCTCCTCCCTGGAGTCTCCACCAAGCAGAGGAGAGTACTTCAAAGAATAGCTCCATACATTTCTCCAAACTGTGTTTTTTGTATGGTTAAATTCTATTTCATGGGATCTTTTTGGTTTCTCTTTGCTTTAGCACCGAAGGCACCCGTGGCCCCCAGCCTCGCCCTGGCAGGCGCTGCGCCAGCGTGGACAAGGAAAGATCGGCCTCAGGCTCGAGAGCAGTTTGTCTTTGAAAAGCCAGCAGAGGTAAAAATTACATGGTAACTGGGAGAATCTCATCTTTTAGTAAACTTGAGATGATAAACGTTATCAGACTTTATAGTCTCCTGCTTAAAAACAAATTCACGGCTCAGCTGAGTTGAACTTTGGGCTTTTACCAAGCAGAATTTGCAGCGCTCTTTTTATGACAAGCAGAAAGTTACCGTCCCTCTGTTTAAGCTCAGACTTGTGTGTTCGTTATGTACTTGTTCATAACTAAATTTTTTTAGAGAGCCAAAAAAAAGTGTTGTCCTAAACATTCAGAACAATGCGGTGACCTAAGCATGGTTTGAGCCTTCAGCTGGGACATCTCTCACGACGTTTGCTTCGTGCCCTGCCAGCAGGTGAAGGAGATGGTGCTTTGCACAGCAGGAAGGTTGTTCCCTGCTTGAGAAGAAAAATAAAAATAAAAATCTTGAACGCTTCTTTCTGAGCCAGAAGTATTTGAAGGGCTGTCATCTTGGCTTGGAAGGATTGGAGGTGGTCTGGGAAGATTCTCTTTTCTTTTTTTTCTCTGTGCCAGAGCCCCGGTATCTATGTTGCGCTACATTTTGGCGCTCTTGCTTGCTCAGCCCCGTCCCTCCCTGCATCTCAGCGCTCTGCTGAGGTCAGAGAGGAGAAGCATAAATACCTGAGGCAAGCAGAATGATAACCCAAGTTCGATTAAACTCTGTGTGTGGTGTGTTTTTTTTGTTTTTCTTTTGTTTTAGCAAACCTCAGCTAGTTCAAGCCAGGGGAACATTTTAAAGTGTCACCTCCTTCTGAGTCTGGCGTGTGTTGGGTTTTGCTCATTCTCTGGGGCCTGGGATTTGTTCACCCCTCCTGCAGTTGCTCTAGATTTTTACTTCCAAAGGCAAGGATATGATTTTGGGAGGAGTTGCTGCTGGTAAATAGCAAGTATTGTAATAACCCAGATAATATAGAAATGTCCTTCAGGGGGCAGTTGCTTGTTAAAAAGCACCTGCAGCAGTAGCTGCATTTGAGAGTTTGTGGGGCATGGAGAGAGTGAGTGGCTTGCAACTGCCTAGAACTTGTCCAGAGCTGTGTTTTTGTCACTGACGTATCGGTCTGCGGCCGTAGAGAGTCAGTAGAGGTGACAGTTTTGTTTGACTAGAGCGTGCCAGGTACTTAAACATTTTAATATTCACCATGTGTTGTCTTGTTACCTTCCAGGTGGGGCGCAGAGTTCCTGAGGTGGGTGTGATCGAGTGAGTATACTCCTGGCTCCGCTGTCCTCCGTGCGCTTTTTCCTTCGTGCTGCTCAGTGAGAATGTGCTGAAAAAGGATTCCTTCTCCACTGCCACCTGCTGTGCCTTTAGAAGCAATTTCAGTAGATAAATATGGACTTTTCGACCTTTTTGTCCTGAACTGCCAGTCTAGGGCTCTGTAAACTAGTTTTTGTAGCTTTGCTGTAGTTGTGCGAGCTGGGTGTTACGGATCAATGGAACTGCAAGTGTGTCTCCTTTGTTTAGTAACCTACATTTTCCTAGAACAGCGCCAGTGTAAACTGTGCTGGAAATTACTTACCTACCCAGGAATACAGCTGGAACGGCAGCTCAGGCCCGGTTCATTTGAGGGTTCAGAAAAGTAGCTGCTAGTAAGTGTCATAGTGAGGCAAGATAGTCGTAGATGACTTAACGCTTCACACCGAAGTGGGGATCTTGGCAGATCGAAACTTGAGCACAAAGCGGGACGAGCTGTGGGTGGTGCGCAGTGAGGTTACAGGTTGTGAAAAATGTGAAAATGCTTCCATTTGGTTATCTTGGTAGAATTTTCTTACTCAGTGTGCCTGTCAATGCGAACATCGTGGTCAGGGTGCAGTCTTGTCTGGCTGTCTCCTTTAGATTCCTCGTGACGTCCCTCCTTTACTCATTTCCAGAGCGCTGGAACTGTGTATTGAGCCGTTGGTGAAATGCGAGTGAGAGGCAGGAAGCACACATAGAACCATTTGCTTCTGCAACACCCTGTCCTGCCTTGCTCCGACCACCTCCAAAATATTATTCCTTCCTATATTTTTTGTGCTCTTTTCCTTTCCCTAGTCCAAACTGACAGCAATTTTAGTCCATTACCATGAGGTAATTTCGCCTTTGTCCGTCTCATGGCTCTTTCCTTTCTCCCCCTTCAGCAAGCCGGGCGTGTACGAGCTCAGCAAAGCGCCGACCGGCGTTTCTCGGTGAGTGGATGAAACTTGTTTACGACGCGGTGGTGCTCGGCTTCCTCAAGTCTGGCCTCTGCAGAGTGGTTTGACTCTCCGGGGTGCACGTTGCCGTTCCCCTGTGTGCTCTGTGTAAAGTACTTCTGGAAATGCTTTGAGCTTTTTCATGAGCCAGAATAAGTCACTGCTTGAAATTTGGATCCCTGTTCCTGCGTTGGCAAGTGCGTGATGTCAACTACCAAAAACTTTAGCTGTAAATGAGACTCAGTTTAAATTAATCTAATAAAAGCACTGGACTTTAGGCAGATTTGGCAATTTAAGGGTTGTCCCTTTTGCTTACATGCTGTGCCTTAATTATTTCAGGACAGTTGAAAACATAAACCTTGTTCTGTGGTTTCTACTAACTAAAACGCATTTTACTTTACGTTGCAGGTTTAACCATGATATCAGTATTAATCCTTTTCTCCTGAATTTGATAGATGTTAGTAATAGTGGGAAAATGCCCACATAGTGACTTTTTGTGCGCTTCTTTCAAAGCTTGCGACTCGGATTCTTGTAAAGCTGCAAATAAGTTTTTATACCAATTTGAAAAATAACAGCTTTCACCGGCTAGAAAGAGAAAAGATAACAGCCCATTTATTCTGTCGCTTTCTGGAGTTTTCATAATACATTCCTGGGTTATACACATTTCTGGAAAGTTCATAATTGGATTTTGCCTCTCCTTTTAGTACAGTCACTATATATTCTTGGGAAGCATTGAATGCTTGTGAGATTAAACTCCTGCGAGCAGCATTCCCGCTCTGCAGCCTGCCACCGCGGCTGGAATTTCTGAATGCTGCTGTTAGCACAGTGGAAAACATAAAATGTACACGTGAAAACGTAAAAAAAAATGGCAGAGGTTAAATACTCTAGGATTCTTGCGCTTGGCAAAGACAGGACAGGAGGGCAGTAGTGATAAAGGGCTGTCAGATCCTGAGTGGCACAGGGAAGGCAAATAAAGGCAATTGTTTGCTTTGCTTTTGTTGCTTGTGCAATAATTAGGGCTGTCTTAATTTCTCAGATGTGAAGTTAACAACAAGCAGAGGGATGCCATTTTTCGCACAGCCTGTGGGACTCGTAGGATACTGTTGGTGTCATACCTTTATGTAGGTTTTAAAAAGCAATTAGACACGTCTGGGGATGGGAAGACTCATCAGGAGCTCCTGCTGTCTTCTGGGCTTTACTTGCTTTTGGCTGTGGACAGAAATGAGCTCCCGGTATTCCTATTGTATATTCCTTCCATCTTTTCTTTATCTTTTTCTTCCTCAGCATTCATTTGATTCCTGGCTTTATTGACTTGGAACAAGCAGACTGGATGTTTGAACAGCTCCTCCAGGACATACCCTGGGGTCAGCGAACTCACGTCAGACAGGGTAAGGAGTGCGCAGACCAACTTTTCTGGTCATTCCTAGCCCGTTTCCCTACCAAAATCCACGTGTTGGTTATCACTGGGTTTTATTTGACGTTTTAATGCTCCCTGACATTTCCTCCCACGTTTTCCGTGCGTATCTGAAGAGCACCTCTGCTTATTTTTCAGTCTTTATCACCATGTTTCTACTGCCAATGAAACAAGATCTTTCCGGATTAAAGTTACCTGTCTTAAAAATCTTGGATTTCTCTGTCATTGCCAGTTCTTTCTCCAACTCTTTTCTCTTTAGATTAAGCCTGTGTTCCATCCCTTCATACTGGCACCCAGTGATGCCACAAAAGCAACGTTCTTTGTGGTTTCTCTACCCCTCAATCTTTTTTGTGCTTGAAAATGTTGCTTTTCCCTTGGCTTTACTTATTATTTCCAATATACGAAGAGACTGCTATTCTGGCTTTGTTCACTAAGGGGCACCTGTTTGAGCTAAATTTCTCTTTCGGTTGGGAAGGGATGTAAGATACTACATCAGAGCAGGACTGGAAAATGTCCTCAACATCTCTGTTTGTTGGCCTGCAGGAATGGAGAATGTTACCTGTCAAGCATAAGAAATAGCTGCCACGATAGTCTTTCCAGGGGTTGGAAGTACTTTTCAGTTGACGTTCGCATTACACCACAGAGCATGCGTGTATTTGGCCAGATATTTCTTGTCTGGCCTTGCTGTGTTCTGCTTCTGTAACGTTCCGTCGATGCTGCAGTCCCTTCCACTTCCCAGAGGATAATGTCTTGCAACTTAGGCCAGCGTATCGGGCACTGGAAGCGGGGGAATATAACCTAAAACAATTAGAAATAAAATTTCAGTTTCATTTTGCTGCCTTTAACTTGTCCAGACCCTGCCCTGCGTGGCATTGCAGTGAGAAAACAGACGTGGTCTGGAGATTTTTGGCACGGTGATTTCTCTTGGAGAGACGGGCCTGCTTTTGAATAATCTCATTCCTTCACTTGAGGTCATTATGTATGGGTGAGGATTTCAAGGGCTTGCTTTTTTAAATTTAGGTTAGTGGGCAGTCCCTTCTTGATCAAGTTTCTCAGCGGAATCGCATCATCTTTCCACTGTCAAGTCCTGGAATAAGCTAACTGAGAAAGCCTTCATGTTTTTCTTTTTTTTTTTTTTCTTTTTAGAAGTATCTTTTGAAGAACCAAGGCTTACCTCCTGGTACGGGGAACTCCCTTACACGTACTCCAGGATAACAATGCAGCCAAACCCAAATGTACGTATATGCTGACCGTTTTCTTTTGTCATCATGCGCAGAGAAATCCTTTGTCGGAGACTGAGAGACAAAAATTCCCTCTAGCCTCTATTTTTTACCTATATATCAACATTTTGTTTGTGATCAGCAGCAGGTTCTAGTGGAATGTGGGAAGCTTCGTAAAGCAAGCATTACGAGTGGACTGATGGAGGGGAGCGTGATTTAGTTGCTAAATGTTGGCAGAAGAGAATTATCATGCTAAAACTGCTGTCCCAAGTCCCAGGACTTCTGCCAGAGGGAGCAAAGCTCAGGTTAGGGAGAAGCGGAAAAGATGTTATTTAACAAGACGAATTGTGAAGATTTTTGTAGTCTCAAAAATACATTCTACGTACATAGTTCAGAAATTCCAGAACCTGTGGAATTTGTGGTGGAAAAATAGGCATTTTTTTCCTTACTTTTTTTTGGTGAAATACTATTTTAAATGCATTTTTCTGGAAGCTGAATGGGCCACTGGCTTGTTTTTCTCATCCAAGAGGTGCAAGGCCCAAATCAGTCACCCATGCTGATCTTGTCTTCTATCCCTGAATAATTTTACTGAGAGAAAGAAACTCCAGCAGGGAGCGTGATGCCCTGCAAACATCTTTGCAAGCAGAGATGTCATTGGTGACACAGAAATGTTTCGACAAAATTACGCTGCTGCAGGTTTGACGAGGGGGTTTCCACTGAGTTGTGAAAACTCGTCACGTGGTGACATTTTTAGAAACTAATGCTTTTCTGGTAGGAATTGAAGGAATCCAGTCCTGATTGCCAAGAAGCACTTTCAGTAATTCTTGTGGGACTCTTCCATCGCTGCGTTGTATGTCCTGCACCTTCAGGCAGCCGGTAGCTTTTTTTGGGTGGTGTTACTGCTTTCCCTCCACGTCCCGTAGCTGCGAGCTGTGTTAGTGGATAATTAATTATTTGCATGATGCTTAGTCATTGACTTGGCTAGAAATACCCCTGCTGTTGAACAAGGTGGCGTGTCAAGCCTTTTGCAGCGTAGCCAAGAGGTTAAAAAGCCTTTAAATATGGGTAAGCATGGGAAGAGGAGGATGCAGCCTCTATTATTAGAGGTGGGTACTAGGGAAAAAAAAAAAACCTAAAAAAAAATCCTGCTGTCCATTCCTTCTTCTGCCAGCGGTGCACTAGGAGATGTGGAATCAGCTCTTTATCCTCTCTTGATCTGTGTTTCTGCTTATATAATAGGCAAAAATCCAGGCCTACACTGCCTTTTTCTTCTTTTCTTTTTTTTTTTTATATGTACTTACGTAGTATTTAAAAGCACTCTGACAGATGAAAGTCATGATGCAAGTTTATAACATTAAATAGTGATTCACTGGGCCGAGCTGTAATGGAATGTGTGGAGCTGCCGCGGGCTGCGGGCTCAGCGCGATGCTGGCAAAGGGGAAGGATGAAATTCAGGGCTTGTGACACTTCCTGACCGCTGAGAAGTTACAACGTCGAAGCCAAAGGCCTGAGAGGTGACGAGCTGGGCTTGACAAGCTGTCCTGACAGAGCGGGGCCACGGGGCCATGGCGTGCCAGAGTTAGGCCAGCGGTTGACACTTGTTCTGGATCAACCGAGAGCTTTTAGGGTCATTTAGGGTCATTCTGGCTGCACCCACTAGCAGTGCCCAAGTAACTCCGATCTGGTAGCAGCCCCCTGTGTTAACCTTCCCTGGCTTGGCCAGGAGGTTAAAAAAAACATGTTGTGTGCATGGGAGAAGTCACACAAAAATTGTTGTCTTGAGAACTCCCAACGCTTATCTGTGGTCAGTTTGAGCAGATTTTACTCATTCTCTCTCACTTTGTGGTTGGTTGGGGTGGCTGGCTGCGCCAGTAGGAAAGGCAGATTGGCTTCAGAGTTTTTGGAGATTACTTGATATCGAGTGATAGGTAGCAGAGGCATATTTTTCAGGAAGCTAAAAATAGGAGCAGAATCGTTCAGGGGCGCTTGTTCGCTTTTGAATTTGTGGGGAATTAAAGCACAATGTCTTTTGTTTCGTAGCAGGTTTCCCCTGGTGTCTTCTGTTACGTGCTGCTGGCCTGCTTTTGTTGTATTTACCCTCCTTCTGCCCTGCCCCTTCCAGTGGCATCCCCTGCTGAGCGTGCTGAAGGAGCGCGTCGAAGAGTTCGCTGGCTACACCTTCAACTCGCTTCTCTGCAACCTCTACCGGAACGAGAAGGACAGCGTAGACTGGCACAGCGACGACGAGCCCTCGCTGGGGAAAAATCCTGTCATCGCCTCGCTCAGCTTCGGTGCCACCCGGACCTTTGAGATGAGGAAGAAACCCTCCCCTGTGAGTGTTCGTGTTGCGTTGGGAGAGTCCTGTAGTTCGCGGTGCGTTTCGTATTTGTCCTCTATTTAGAGAACTTATTTCCTAAAAGCGTTTAAGAGGAGTTAAGGAAAGCACAACTCGTAAACTTCTGTGGAATAGGCGTAGGGATGAAGAAATCTATCACGTGGGAAGTGACACATTGAGGATGGGCACGCGGAGCGGTGCAGTGCTGCAGTGAAATGACAAAATGGGCACGCTTCTGCCCAAATAAGAGCCTTTTCTGTTGCTGACAATGAAATCGGTGATCGTGGAAAGGGCCTTTCACTGCGTAAATGAACCAAGGAGTTGATACCATTTTCTTAAACGCTGGCAAACATGGTGTAATGCATAGCGTATGTGAAATGAGGAGTATCGCAGTATGCTAGGGATTGGAAGGGACCTCAGAAATCATCTAGTCCAATCCCCCTGCCAGAGCAGGAACACCTACATGATGTTACACAGGAAGGCGTCCCGGAGGGGTTTGAATGTCTCCAGAGAAGGAGGCTCCACATCCTCCCTGGGCAGCCTGTGCCAGGGCTCTGTCACCCTCACTGAGAAGAGGGTTCTTCTCAAATTTAAGTGGAATCTCTTGTGTTCCAGCTTGATTCCATTACCCCTTGTCCTGTCATTGTTTGCCACCGAGAAGAGCCTGCCTCCATCCTCATCCCCCTTTATATATTCATCAACACTAATAAGGTCACCCCTTAGTCTTCCTCTTCTCCAAACTAAAGAGACCCAGCTCCTTCAGCCTTTCCTCATAAGGGAGGAAATCCCTTAATCATCTTAGTTGCTCTGCGCTGAACTCTCCACCAGTTCCCTGTCCTAGAGTAGCTCTGACCGCTCTCGGAAGTAAAAATGCTCATAATGATGTTTGCTTTTTGAAGTGACGAGTGCTCACATTGAGGGACAGCGAACGGAGGAGCTCATTTCTTTTCCGTGACTGCTGCACCCTACGTGACAGGCCGAGCAGAAATCTTTACTTTGATAAGGAAGCGCGTGTGGGACATCCTCTCAGGAGTTAGTTGGTGATTCAGTAGTGAATACCCTTTCTAGATAAAATACCATGCTTGAGAATGCTGTGCTTACAAGCCAACTGCCAAATCAAATTTTGCAGTTTCTCTTTATCCAAGTAAAGGAATTGCGCGTTCCTGTGTTGAGAAGACGGGCCTCATTTTTGAGTGTCCTGCTTCTCTGCACGTGTAGTCTTTGAGAACTTCGCGAAGAAGTTTGCTGTCCCCTTTTTTTGCTGTTGATGATGACTAAGTGACACGGAAAGCCAAGGTGGTGATTATCAGCCCCGTTACAAAACCGCGTGGTGGCGTACTGATGTCTGCCCATCGGGCATCACCTTGGGCCACCTAGTCCTCCACAGCAAAGGTCAGAATTTAAACCAGAAACCAAATAAATAACTTGTGGTTCCCAGTGCTTCTCTCATTTGTTAATTGTTTGTTGTCTGAAGTGAATTTAATCCCGGTCCCCGAGCGTGAGATCGCTGAACTGGTACGTTCTGTCGAGGGGCACAGCATGAGTAAGCGTCTTTGATGCTGCGATGATAACAAATTGTCGGCTGGAAAGCTCATTCCTCTGGGAAAAATGTAGATGGTGCTTGGATTCATTTCTGGAAGTGCATGTGTTCCCCTCCAGTGGATCGGAAGTGAAGCCACTTAGATTTCGGTATCAACTTCCCAGTTTGCCCTCTTAAAAAAATCAAACACAGTTCTTGAGGAAGATGTCTTTTTGTTCTGTTTTGTGTTTTCTGTTTCTGAGGTGCCGCCCCGTGCTTCAGGGAACTCGTGCTTACTAACGCTGCGGCACGCGTTGTGTATTCTTCACGTGTCCCCAAAGCCTGCAATTTTCTGAGAGCATCCTATGACACTCGGTGCTTTGCCAAGTGGAAGTGACGAGAGGCTTTGATGGAAATTACAACCTTTCACGCTGTACCGCCAGAGAAGTAATTTTCGTGCTCTGTTGTTAGGCAATGTTTGCTCTTTCCTTGAGGGAAAGTTGTAGATGTTTGGGGTTTGATCGTCATTTGGTTCAAAAGCAAGTTGCAGGAGAAGAAAAGGGATTCGAAGGAATGGTCATCACAGGCTCTACCTACTGGTATCGGTACGTCGAGTTTTCCAGAGTTAGTCTTCACTGAGGAGGGAAATAGAAAAAAAATCCTCTTCCTCCCCGTATTAAACTAATTTGAGGAGCGACATTCTGGTGTTTCAGATTCTAGAGTTTCAAAGGGCTTCGTTTCCCTCTGTTCTTGTAAGCACCTTTAAGTACTTTGGGGTGAAAGTCGTAATGAAAACGCGAGATGAGAAATACTACTGTAGCAGTTTGCTGTGGGTAAATGGCACTGGGGAAAAAAAAAATCAACAAAAAAAGTAACCTCCCTGTAGATATTTAAGAAACGTGTTGATCTGATGCTTAGGGACACGATTTAGTGGTGACCTGACATTGCCAGGTTAATGGTTGGACTCTGATCTTAAAAGTCTCTTCCAACTAATGAGATTCTGTGATTCTGTTTGTCCTTGGCAAAAAAGTTGTTTAGGTGTGAGTGATGGTGGTTTTTTCCCTGAAAAAATGTTCTAGGGCGAGGGGAAGGAAAGGCTCAGTCCTCTTTCTTTTTGGTGAGCGCTGTGCTGGATGAGTAAGTGTTCATCGTACAGGAGTGTTGAGGCACACACAGCCTCTCTGAATCTGCATCAGCAAGCATCCCTGATGGATAAGCGGAAGTAATTCTTACTCAGATTTCTGCCCGGTGCCTCTAAAAAAGCTACAAATACGTTTCAGGAGTGAATTTCCCACTGGAATCCAGGCGACTTTTCATGGAAATTAACAGGATGCCAGAAAGTGGTAAACCCGCTGGAGGTTTTCTTTTTAAGCATTCATTCTTCTAAACACTGCTGCCTTCTGTTTTATTCTGACCACTTGTGTGGTTGTAGCTGGTATTTTGCCTTTGCATTAAGCGTTTTCTCGGGTTTTTTGGTTGCCTGCTTGGTAGTTCAAAAGTCTGGAGTGATCGGCTTTCTTTTATTTTCTACGTCAAGTTCCGATAAATGAGTTAAACTTTTTCTTCCCTCCTTGTTCCCCCCCTACACACGTCGCTGTAGCTCCTGCCTACGGCGAAAAGCGAGAGACAAACGGTGACTTGGTTTATTTGGTGCCTTTGGTTTAGAGCTGTGATTCACACACACTTCACGCACAATCTATCGGTTTAGTCAGCGAGCCCTCTCGTGCTTGCCCGCGGCGTAAGTGCTGTGACCCTCCTCCCGGTCTCCACACCGCCTTGAGGCCCCTTGTCCCCGCTCGTACGTGGCTTAATCGCCCCAGTGGAGAGGAACTGATTTCAGATGAGTCTTTCCGATACGGTGCCGGCTTGGCTGATGAGTTTTTTTCTGGAAGCTGAGTGTGAAACGTTAGTTCAAGGGGAGTACTTAACGTCCCCCTCGGCTCACACATCCCACCAGGAGATGCTCTGGCTTGTGGGAAGGACCAGTTGGGGGTCGTTGCCCGAGGAACCAGCCATCAGGATGCAGCTCTTCGTCTGTAACCAAGGCAACAGGGATGCTGGCGTGGTTAGATAATAAGCAGGGTGTTCATGGCGTTCTCGGAACGAGCCTTCGGATGGGTCTGTCCTTTGAACAAGACGCTACGACGCGGTCCTTTCCTTCTGCTAGAACAGCTCCTGAAGGACAGAAGTTAAAGATCTCCCGGTACGTTTGAAAACAGCAGCAGAATAACCCTTGGTGCCCTGGCTTTTTGAGCCACCTCGCTTGCGGTCTGCTGGGTCAGCTGCAGAAAGGAGTTCAAAGACGGTCCTACGTAGGCAAGCAAGTGGATTGTGTGAGGAAAGGGCAACGTAACTGCTCCTCGATCTTACTGGATCCGTCAAGAAAAGAGGATTTTGTCAGAGGTAGTGGGAAAAAACAGGTAGAAATGCAGAAGCGTTGTGAGGTGAGACCACTTTGTGGTGGAGGAGAGTGTTTCCACAGCTGGTTGGTGGGAGGAGTAAGCTGGAAAAGAGGGATAAGGGTGAGATGGAAGCCTGAAAAACACAGGATGAGAGGTTTTGTAAGGATAATTCTCTTGGTAATAGGTAAAGTGAAAAATTAGAAACCAGTATTCGCCGTGAAGGCTGTCGACTTCAGCCTTTAAAAATAATTTTGCATCTTTTGCACGTATAACTCCATTCTTCTGCAGGATATTTCCTTTTCCTTAAGATGCTTCCACGCTATCCAGAACCCGGTTCCTACTACTGTCTCAAGAAACGTGCCTGAGACTTAAGAAACAAACTTAGGTGATTTATACAAATTCATACTAGATCTTTTCTCTTTCTTGCCTTTTTAAATTTTAGACCATTTTAAGAAGAAAACAAACAAAACCCCAAGACCTTGATGAAGTCCAGGATCACTTACAGGTTTTGCATTCACAGCTTCCCATGCACTCATGCTGAGCTTCCCTCACTTACTAACTATAGTTACTTGAATTAAGCATAAAATAAAAGGTTTAGCCGGGCTGCAGTTTTAGACAGTGTAAATCTTGGATTGCAACTCAAGAGTATGAAAATTCTAATATACTGAGAAGCAGAATGGTTGCTTTACTAGACCTGTTCTTGGAAGCAGCGGGTTTTGTAATATGTGCACAGAGTTACAAAGTGACCGTGTAAAAGTTACCTGATGCATTTATGTCTCGTGTTTTTAAAAAGTCTTTTCCTCCTTACATGTCAAGAATAACTTCCCGTCATAAACTTCTTGATCTCTGAAACTCAATCTCACTGGCTCTGCAAAACTTAAAAATCTTCTTTTGAAGTGAAACGAAGCTCAGAGGTGCCTCGTTTAAAACACAAAGCAACCGCTGCTTTTAAATACTGACTGTGCTAAGCCAAAAAGGATGTTTTCTCCGAAGTCATTTATCTTAGAAGAACTCCTTTTTAATCAAGATGAGCAAGAGATAAAAATAAGCCTGCTGTTGTCCATCCACAAAGCAAAATGATGTAATCCTGTGAAACAGCAAACAGCCATGCCCTGGTATTTCTCTGCTTTTCATCAGCAGTCGTGTTCATAATACCTGGGTTTGAACTTTTTTCCTTATTTCCTCTGAAGTTTAAGGAAGTGCCCAATCCTCCAGCAACGGTGCGAGTTAATAGTCGCCTCCATCAAGTGATGCTTCATGTTACGGGGAATCGATTTGATCCCAACCAAGCTCTTTGGCATTTTAGAGGTTTTGCAGTCTTTCTGGCTGCGTCTTTTTTTTGTACACTCCCGCTTGTTTTGAGTATCGAACTTTAAGTCCAGGACATAGTTTTCCCAGCAGCTGATATTTTACCTCGTTACTTTGAGCTTTTCAGCAAGCCACCGACTTTTAAAGAAGACAGACTTGGGCTGCTGCACGATTGAGCTTTGGGAAAGCTAGTTAAGATTTTTGAAAATGTGAGGTTTTGTAGAAGGAACAAAATGTCTTGGCTAAGAGCCGTTGGGTCTTTTTAACGACTTTCAAAAGACACCATCTGCCTTTTTATGACCCGTTTTCTTCTAACTGTCGGGTCTGTTTGTTTTCCTGAATAACTCTCAAGTCCAGCCGATTCCTGGAGATCCTGGAACGTTTCTTCCTGTTTCAGAGAGGTGGGACTTTGGTCGGTGTGAGGGAGCTGTACCTGCACCTCAAGCTGGGTTAAATCTTACTGTGAAAATTCCATTTCCCCCCATCTCAGCTGTCCTATAGTTTCCAGCTTCTTTGCCATCTGCTTCTGGTAGTGACCCCTCATCTCTTTTCTTTTTAGGTGACATTTTATTTTACGTGACAGGTGCCACTCTTGTTTTGCTTAGTCCGGAGTAACTGCTGCCTTCCTCCGAAATAATTGAGCCTCCTGATTTTAGGAGTCAACCAACCATTGTAAGAAACTGGAAGAGAAGATATTGCCCAACTAATTTAAAAAAACAAACCCAACATGTGAAGCTGTTGAAGATGTATGATCCCTTACGGGAACGCCACCATGCTTTAGAAGCTCAGACCTGTCCTAATGAGTTTTTTCTCATCTCTTTGTACTAATTGTGTATTTCTGGCATTTCTTTGGAGGACAAGTAAGTGATTTGGTGAGCTCTTCAGAAAAAAGCTGGTATCTCTCTGCTTCTAGAGGCAGTGGTGCAGTAACAAATACATGTTCAGGCTATTTACTTGCTCTGTGCAGCGTTCTCAGAGCAAGGTTAATCCAGTGTAGAGACTGAGAACCTGTCATTTTTTTTTTTTCCCCAGCGGAGAACATTTTTAATCAACTTTATTCTTTGAATCTGTTTATGGCTTTCTGTAACTTAAAAACAAAAGGCCCTGAGTCCCCTCCTTTCTACACTAGTGGAAGAATTTCTCTAACTCCCCCTCACTCCAAAATAATCCCTGTATTGTGCAGGTGGCTTCCTCTCTGAATTCCTCATTTCAGAGTGTTGCTTCCCACTCTGCCTAAACGGCAAAGTTGGCGGTAGAGCTCTATAAAAGGCAAAATCCACGCTGCCAACGTTAATGAAAGAATCCAAGTGCTAACATCAAGTAGGCAAGATGTGAAGTGGAAGCCGTTTGAGGTTTAAGACAAGTTGTTTTACAAGGTGCTATAGGAAAAGGAGATTTTTATTTTTTTTTAATAGAAGTTCTTCACCTAGCAGACAGTACTATACCAAGAAGTAACATCCAAAAAAAGACAAATTCAGCATAGAGGGATTCTTGATGAAGCAGTTAACTGTTGGAATCCACGTGTGGAATGTCTCCGCACGGAACTGTTTCTTTCAGCACTGGTTGTTCCCAGAAGGTTTGCAGCCTCGCTCCAGAATTCTGCACGAGGTGCAGGAACTTGTTGGACCTTACCCGTTGTTGTACAGGCAGTGGGATGAAATGCCTTCTTTCAGCCCTAAAATCCTGAACTCTGTATGAAATACGGTAACAGAGAGGTTTAGTTTGACTGCTCGGTCTTGTAAGAGCTTCCTTTTCCTCCTCTCCCCTCGCAGCTTTTTAAGCTCTGCTGCAGAGAGCTGCCTTTCTGTCGGACGTGTGTGCCCGTTTCTTCAGTGCCTGATGTTTCTTTTCAGGAAGAGAACGGAGACTACACTTACGTGCAAAGACTGAGGATCCCGCTGGATCACGGGACTCTGCTGGTGATGGAAGGAGCGACCCAAGAGGATTGGCAGGTAAGAACTCCTTGACATTGTAAAGGTGCGGGACACTTCCCTGCCAGCAACGCAGTTGTTTCCCGGCGCGTTAATACCACTTCCTGCCTCTAAATTTCAAAGCACCCACAGTAACAATGAGTTTTCTTTCAAGTGAGTGGTGTAGTAGGAATAAACTCTGATGTTCCAGCATTATAGTTCAGCAGTGAAGTTTGCAGCCTGCAGCCAAAAGAGCAATATCAATTTAGGGATTTGGAAGACAAAAAAAGTTGCATCTTAATTTAACAAGTGTTCAGGAATCTACAAAGACTTTGTGTTTTCAGTGAGCAGTCAAAATGTGCTGCTTTTTTTTTTTTTTCTCCAAATGTTTAGCAATGTTAATTTTCTGTGATGGTTTTTTATTAAGGTTTTTCACGTTGTTTGATTACCTGTATTTTAAATACACAAGCTCATGCTTCTGGTCTGTCTCTTTTTTTTGTCTTTTTTTTTCTCTCTAATGCCATTTACAGCATCGAGTGCCTAAGGAATATCATTCTAGAGATGCACGGATAAACTTGACCTTCAGGATCATTTATCCAGAACCTGACGGAGTTTGGAAGTGAAGAGGAACTTTGAACGTTGTTGGATACGAACCCACAGCGAATCCAGAGCCTGGATTGCTGCAGATTTTAACGGAAGCCATACAGAGTCCTGTGAAATATCTGAGGGAGGGAAAAGAAACAATATTATGAACATTTTTTTTCATTTGTAGGTTGCAAGACAAAGGCAAAAAAGAGAGACACCATAGCCACGAGCCTTACCAGCCAGGTCAGAGCTGCCCGTGGCTTGAGGATTAACAGTCTTCCTCCGTCCCTGCTGGCTTAAAGGTGTTACCTCCGTGTCATAGGCTGGAAAGGAGATGAAAAGCATCCCTTTCAGAATTTGCTAATCAATTCTTGTCGTCTTTTTTTTGGTTGTTTTCTTTTTTTAGCGTGACTTAGTCGTGTCTTCCCAGTCTTCCCTTTCTGCCTGATGCAGATATTCTCTGCCTGGTGCCCCAGTAACATCGTTAAGCCAGCGAGCGTCCCTCTGCAGTGCAAGAAGAGAAAACGGTGTTTAGAAAACCCCGATCTTTTCTTAGCCAGCATTTGCTCTAGGTCAAAATTCTTACCTGATGAGAGCAGTCAGTTTATTAATACTCGATTATGCCTATGTTTTAATGTTATTAATAACCTAAAGGACAGGGTGGTGAGCCATTTCAATCCCTGTGCTCTCAAGTTGGGCAGAATAATTTTCTGTAGAAAGAAAAAAGGCTCCAGGAGCAGTTTTTCTACCTGAACCACCATGGAGCTGTTGAGAATGCTTCCTCTGCTGAACTGAACGTTGCTAGAAAACTTAGAAAACTTTATCTAATCATGCCTTTCCTTCCATCCCAGTCTGTATAAAAACATGTCTTTGGAGCCTGTTTAATGTTGATTCCTTGCATTTGAATCGAAGAGCTGGGCTTCGAGGTGTGCCTCCTGAGAATTCACGCTGAAAGAGGCAGATGCTTACTTTCACGTTCGTTTTCTTTGCGTGCCTGAAGCCTTGGGCCCATCCCTGTGCCTGCGCCCCGGTTTGGGAGCCCTCACAGAGCTTTTTTCTTTACCCAAGGGGCACTGCGAATTCCTGTGGGAATTCTGACGAGGCGACGCTTCAGCCTTTATCAGCTGGCACAAGCTCCGTTTATTTACCTTGCTTTACGAGCAGTCGTGCTGCAGGAGAGAATCGGAGACGGAAACTTCTAAATCCCCAAACCTCAGCCTGGGGAAACTGCAGCTCGTTTGAATTTGTAACTGATGGTGGGGCCCCGCTGGCTGATGTTGCTGCTGAAAACCAGCTCTTTCCACTTCCTCGGTTTGCATTTATAACGTTAGCAAATTGTGCTTTGTTCTTTTCCTTTGATCTGGGAGAAGAGCAAGGTTTCCTCCCCAACAATAAAGCGATTTGCAAGAGGGATTCTGTATCCCACCCAGCTCTCGTGGGGCGATACCCTTTTACTGCTGGCGTCTGCTCTCTTTCCGTGTGTCGACGGTGCTGCCGCTTCCATCCAAATCCAGTTGACGGTGGGGAGGAGGCACGTGGAGCCGGTCCTCCCGCTGTCCCGAGTGCCCTGGCTGCGCGCAGGGAACAGTTGGCAGAGAGGTCAAGTTTCTTTTGTCAGCTGGGAACTTGTGAGTTCTTCCTTCCTCCCCTCTACCTCCTCCCAAAACCAAAAAAAAAAAAAGGTCTCCTAGCCAGGTGGCAACAGATTGTGTGTAACCAGGAAATGGTTTAGAAGAGAGGAGATTGCAGCCCACATCTCCTCAGGAGATCTTTGGGCAGGGATGGTTGTCCTGTCGGAACAAATCTGTTCCTGAACGCCGCGATGGCTCTTTTTGAGTTCTCCCAACGGGTACGTTGGAGAGGTCATGAGCCTGGTGGTTGGTCTTGTGGCACCTAAAGAAATTTTTCACGGGAGACCAGGGCAACTGGGAAGCTTCTGGCACTGCTATTCAGGAGTCCTGGGCAGAGGGTGATATATTTAGAGTGGTAAATGTGAAGTTAAGTTCCATTCTTTAACTTAAAAGATAGCTGGAGGGACCTTTCCTCTAGCTAGATGGATTTGAAAGCAGTATTTCTGAAAAGGCGACCCAAAAGATGTATTTTCCAGTTATAAGACTTTCTTCCTTCCCAGGACTCTCTTGACAGGACAGTATTCCCAGCTTTCTCCTTTTACTCCTGTTGTGATTTGTTCCTGTTTATCTCTAGTTACCTCTCACGTGCTGCCTGCTGCAGGAGGGATGGTTTTTTTTTTTATTTTTTATGTAGAAGATATAAACTGTGGGTTTCACTTTCTTCCTGCTCCTTCGTCCTGAAACGTTACTTCTCAGCGTGTGTGCCTCTTCCAAGAAAAGCTGAAAAACTGCATTCCTCAAAACCGTTTGTGTCGGCTGAAATACGACGGGAGATGAGGAGCAGATGGGTGGAAGCTGGGAAGGAAGGATGGCAGCCTCACAGCTCGAGGGAACCTGCGGGATGGAGCTGTTGTGGAAAAAACAGTCAACCGGGCCTGTCCCCAACATGTAACCATTCATTTATTTAACGCCTATATAAAGAGGAACGTTATTAATCAACCATACTGGTTAATTGCTCTGTCTCCATGCTAGTTGCAGTAGTCATTTAATTGCAGAATACTCGAATAGTCAAGCACAAGCTCTTGATGCGGTTGAGAGTTTATCTTAACCTGGTCACACCAGGCTGATGTGAGCACACGCTGTTTAAAATGGGTAACAAAGTTCTGTCATTGCTCTGCTGGATTTCTTTTGTTGTTGTTGTTGTTCCTCAGGGAAAAAAAAAAAAAAATCAGGATTTTCCATTTTGATTAGCTTTAAATCTTAGATAATTCTGTTCCTCCTGTGTCAGATTAATTCTAGCTGCGTGTTTGCCACTTGTCGTGACTGATAGGCTTGGTATGGCTCCATATAGTAATTTGCACCCTCAGTAGTAATGTAGAAGGAGTCGGGGTGCCAGGAAGGGGTTAAGAAAGCAGAATTTTCTTACCTTAGTGTATCAGCAAAGTACTGTTTTCCTGGGGTCTGGGATTGGGGCTGTGTGAGTCCATAATGCCTCCTCAAGTGCCGCTACTATTGACTTAGCTAAAACGCATTTAAGACCCACTTTTGCCTTTCCTGGTCATAAACCTTTTCAACTTGGCTCTCAAATCTGCCTCGCTCCGTTTTGTTTTCAGGGCGCTTCTTTTCCATCCTCGAGGTTTCCGTAGCAACCCGGGACCGTTTGTTGAAAGAAATTGAAAGAAATTGGAGCTCGGAGCTTGCTGGCCTGTCCTCCCCGCACCAGACTTCTGCAGGTATCTCGTGTCCTGGAGTCTGGTGGTTCATTGTCACGAAACTTCTGTTGTAATCTCTAAACCACAGTTGTTTTCTTTCTCGGGGCTGGTCAGCCCCTCCCGTGCTAGTTTTGAGGTCGGCGATGAGTTTTATCCCAATAGTTTCGTCTGTGATTCTGTTATAGAGGATAGGAAAAAAAAAAATCTCAGAACTAATTTCTTCAACTTTTGCAAAAATCAGCAGTTGGGTCCAAAAGAGCAACCGAGGTGAGTGTCCTGTGCTCAGAGAGCTGGGGGTTATGCTGGGCTCCCCCAGTGAGGATCAGGTGAATCCTCGCTCGCTTGTCAACAGCATCTTTGCTCCTGTGGCCACCAACTCAGCGGGACAGAAACTCAGCAAAGTTCTGCACACGCAAAGGTTTATTCGTGCGGTTTTTTTTCCCCTGAACTTCTTTTATTTTTTTTATTCTGTGGGCTTTTTCAAGCTGTCGAACCTGAGACGGGATGTGTTTCGTGAATTGCAAGAGGTATTACTGAAGTAGATGACCCTGATCTCTGCGCTGCTCACTTGGTAGGATCACAGTAACAACTAGATGTAGCAATACCTCCGCAGCTAAAAGCCGTGGGAGATGAGAGGTTAATTTCACGTGATAGCAGCTTGCACCCGCAG